AAAAAAAAAAAAAGAAAAAGAAAAAGTACTCTTCCTGGAAGATGGGCTCTTTAAAATAAATAAAAATAAAGAAATAAAAAGTACATGTAGGCCAGGCACAGTGATCTATGCTTATAATCCCAGCACTTTAGAAGGCTGAGGCAAGAGGACCACTTGAAGTCAGGAGTTTAAGATCAGCCTGGGCAACATGGCAAGACCTCATCTCTATAAAAAATTAGCCAGGCATGGTGGCACGTGATGGTCGTCCCAGCTACTTGGGAAGCTGAGGTGGATGGATTGCTCGAGACTGGGAGTTTGAAGCTGCAGTAAGCCATGAACATGCCATTGCACTCTAGCCTGGGTGACAGAGCAAGATCCTGTATCAAAAAATAAAGTACATTGTAAATTGTTACTTTAGATTGTCCTTTGATATCTTTGTCTATCAACCCACCATTTCTCCTGGTCTTTCACCAAAAGATTGAGAATAGAAAAATAGTCCCTTTTGTCCGGGTGTGGTGGCTCACACCTGTAATCCCAGCACTTTGGGAGGCCAAGGCAGGCAGATCACGAAGTCAAGAGTTCGAGACCAGCCTGGCCAATGTAGTGAAACCCCATCTCTACTAAGAATACAAAAATTAGCTGGGTGTGGTGGCACATGACTCTAATCCCAGCTACGTAGGAGGCTGAGGCAGGAGAATTGCTTGAACCCGGGAGGCGGAAGTTGCAGTGAGCTGTGATCACACCACTGTAGTCCAGCCTAGGTGACACAGCAAGACTCTGTCTCTAATGAAAAAAAGAAAAACAGTCACTTATATTTATGAAAGAAGAGTTTAAGTTGCCTGAAAAGAAATAAAATTCAAAATGGATATGTATGCTTTTTTTTTTTTTTTCACTCTCCCCATGTAACACAGTTTCTGTTATATAAATCCAAATGTCTTTCTAACTGTGAAATATGTAATCATTACTCATAGACATCTTTTGAACCACGGGGAAAGAATGTATGGAAGCCAAACCGAAACTTATTTTTAGGGAACCCACAGCAAGTAAACCCACTACCTAATCCCAGCTGTTTATTTCATAATTTCTGTGTATAGTACTTATCCCTGGTACGTGTGTACATAAGCCTTTTTTATGTCTGTTTCCCAAGAGACATAAAAAAGAGTCCCAAGTGCCTTCAGAGTGGCAGTGGCTCTTTCTAATCGGCAGTGTTTCAGGCCGGCTCTAACCAGAAAAGCCTTTATGCTTCCCTAGTTGATATTCTGTCTGGCTTGAGGTTATCAGACTAGGAGATTTGATTCTGTTCTTCTGTTAGGCTCCCTCCTCTCTCCAGGTTATGTCAGGAATTAGAATAGAAACAACCCCAGCCACCATTTTTCAGGGTATCTGTGGCTGAAGTAGGACAGCTTTCTCCCTCCCTTCAACAGATTCAGTCCATATCAGTGATCTCATTTCATCAGATCCCCTCCTCCTTTTCTATAGCCTGAACAAAAATAGCAATATGTGTTTTCTTATATTTAGACAAAACATAATATAGTCTATTTGTCTATGTTTGTATTGTCTTTATACTGAATTTCTAACAGATACTGACCAGGTCTTTTCTCTAGATTAACATTGATGCAGTGCCTATCATTTGCACACATACACTTAATCATATTTCCTGTTGATTTTCTCCTTCAGAATCAGAGAATGCAGAGTGGTCCTGGTTGAAGGTAAAGCCAGAGGCTGTGCCTATCCAGCTCCTTACTTGGATGAATATGGAGAAACAGACCCTGGCCTGAAGTAAGATTTTCTTATAATAGGAAGATTTTGATAATTTCCCTTTTATATTGTTTGTTTTCTATTTTAGTCATATTATTGTATATAAATGGTGATAGTTCTTTAATCACGAAAGGTAATTGAGGCCACACGTGATGGCTTATACCTGTATTCTCAGCACTTTGAAAGGCCGAGGCAGGCAGATCATTTCAGGCCAGGAGTTTGATACCAGCCTGGCCAACATGGCGAAAACCCATCTCTACTAAAAATACAAAAATTAGCTGGGCATGGTGGCGCACTCATGTAATCCATGCTACTCTGGAGGCTGAGGCAGGAGAATCACCTGAACTTAGGAGGTTGCAGTGAGCCAAGATCGCGCTACTGCATTCCAGCCTGGGCGACAGAGGGAGATTCTGTCCTCAAAAATAAAATAAAATAAGCCGGGCGCGGTGGCTCAAGCCTGTAATCCCAGCACTTTGGGAGGCCGAGGCGGGTGGATCACGAGGTCAAGAGATCGAGACCATCCTGGTCAACACGGTGAAACCCCGTCTCTACTAAAAATACAAAAAATTAGCTGGGCATGGTGGCGCGTGCCTGTAATCCCAGCTACTCAGGAGGCTGAGGCAGGAGAATTGCCTGAACCTAGGAGGCAGAGGTTGCGGTGAGCCGAGATGGCGCCATTGCACTCCAGCCTGGGTAACAAGAGCGAAACTCCGTCCCAAAAAAAAAAAAAAAAAAACAAAAATAATAATAATAAAAAAATAAATAAAATAAAATAATTGAGAGCCATTTTTTATTTTTATTTTTTATTTACTTATTTTCGGAGACAGAGTCTCCCTTTGTCACCCAGGCTGGAGTATAGTGGTGCTATCTCAGCTCACTGCAACCTCCACCTCCCAAGTTCAAGTGATTCTCCTGCCTTAGCCCCCTGAGTAGATGGGACTATAGGTATGTGCCACCACACCTGACTGATTTTTGTATTTTTAGTAGAGACTGGGTTTCAACGTGTTGGTCAGACTAGTCTGGAACTCCTGACCTCAAGTAATCCACCCACCTCAGCCTCCAAAAGTGCTAGGATTACTGGCATGAGGCACCACACCTGGCCAAGAACTACTTTTTAAATAGCTTCAAATTTAAAATATTAAATGTAATAACATTCTTTAGCATGTAATTTTCAACAACTTTGTGCCTCTCCAAAATTTGAAGGTAATATTTCTCCAAAATTTTTAAAGACACCAGCCATCCTAATGTTTCAGTGTTCTATTATTTTAATCAACCTTTCTTCAGAATTCCTTAAACGGATTGACACTGATAGTGTAAATTTGTAGTGTCCAGTGATGATGTTTGGTTTAGAGATATTGTTTCCATTGCAATACTTCAAACTTTTTTTTTTTTTTTTTTTTTAGTTGGAGTCTCACTCTGTCACCCAGGTTGGAGTGCAGTGGCACAAACTCAGCTCACTACAACTTCTGCCTCCAGGGTTTAAGTGATTCTCCTGCCTCAGCCTCCCAAGCAGCTGGGACTACAAGCAGGTGCCACCACACCTGGCTAATTTTTTTGTGTTTTTAGTAGAGACGGGGTTTTACCATGTTGGCCAGACTGGTGTCAAACTCCTGACCTCAGGTGATCTGCCCACCTTGGCCTCCCAAAGTGCTGGGATTACAGGCATGAGCCACCGCGCCCAGGTGAAACTTTTTACTAGCCAGCTATATCAGTTTTCTTTCCTTCTGAGCATTAGCAAAATGTTTAGAACCCTGAACTTTTCTGTATCCTTCCCTGGTCGTAGGAACTGGGGTTCTACTGATGCTTTCTGAAAATGAAGAAACTGACAATGATCCCAAAAGTACATATAGATAAAGATTAGACCTCCTTACAATAAACTCTTTTTGTTTCACTGAAATTTTGTTCCTTTGACATATTGCTCAGAGTGAATAGGCTTATTAGATGGGGTTTGGGACCTCAGATCATGCGGAGCTTTGTTTTTATTGGGATAGCATTTGACCTGTCTTTAGGTTTAGGGACAAAAGCTGAGTGGTGAAAGTTAATGACTGAGAATGATCTTAGCTGTTCCACAAGGGTACAAAGCAGAGTTTTAAAATTAATTTGGCAGTTTTAAAATTCCCAACCTGCTGAGGCACTTGAATGCCTCAAGGAATGAGGATCTCATAGTCCTCCATTATTGGCAACAGCCAGACTTAAGTCATTTTTGGATTAGCTGTTATACAGTGTTAAAAACTGTGCAACTCTAGAATTGAAGTATAGTTATTTTATTTAAATATTTGCTAATTATTTGCTAATAACCATCCAATTTGTCATAAGGACAGTTACAACCAAATATATCTGAGTAGAAAATATAATTTTAGGGCCTAGTGTTATACATCAGACCTAAAGTCTACTGCACAAAGATCATAAATTGAAGCTAGATAACAATGTGAAGTCAAAAAGCTATTCAGGCCAACCACCAAAAAAGAATAGTGCTGCTTCAAGTTATAAACCTATTTAAATGAGGTCCCATAGTGTCATAGTATACTTGACCTATTTTATGAATAGTCAAGGGGTACATTTCTGCTTTATTAGCTAAGTAACCTGTCAAGTTCTTAGTGATCAGTGGTAAAGGGAAAATATCCCTTTTTAAGCCCTGTGCTAGGGAATTCTCCCAGCTCCTAGAACATCTCAAGAGTGCATATGAATTTAGACAGTAAAGATGTGTCCAATTACTAGATTCAAACTTACTTGTTGTTTTTTCTTTTTTCCCTGTAGGAGGGGCAATCCCCTTCATTTATCTCGTGAGCGGTATCGGAAGCTCCATTTGGTATGGCAACAACACTGCATTATAGAAGAGATTGCTAGGAGCCAAGAGACTAATCAGATGTTATTTGGATTCAACTGGCAGTTACTGTAAGCTCCAACTCTGCCTCAAGATAATCACAAATGATGACAGTAATAAAGACTGATTGAAAATTATGGAAAACTTTCTGAGGGCTGGGGAAGTATTGAGGGTCTTTTGCTCCATGTCCAGATTCACTTACATCAATAAAATATTCCTTAATGGAGTATTGCTTTCAATTAGCAAACATATGCTTCAAGGGAAAAAAAGGACATAGATTAATCTATTTTGTGTTCTAGAATGTGAAAGAAATGCTTGTTCACCCCAAGGGTCTGATTCTGCTAGTATTTCCAGGAAATGTATTCCCCTTCATAATTTGTCTCATTTCATTTCATCCACTTGGTAGATGAAATCACATCAAACAATTGTGGACGTTTTTATATGTTGGTTAACTTTTCTGCAATTTTGGATTTGGTATTTTCCCCTCAGGTTCAGCTAACATTGGATCGCTGACAAGATTCTAATAATCTGTGATAGTCTTCCTTGCAAGACTAAGGAGAATTGCAGAAACCATACAATATACTTGAATTGAGAAAGATTCCAAAAATATATTTTTTATTATTTCTCTTTTAAGGAAATACCCTTAATGTGCCACCTGCTGCTGTCACCACAAATTAAACTAAATCTCTATATGGACAGAGTATGATTTCTGCCAATGTGGATTTGTTATTCATTCCTGATGGTAAAAAGAGCTTGCAGTTCTCACCTCTAACTACAAGTAGCTTTGTTGAGTTTTGAAATACTACTTGACATTTTCCAAAGGCAAATCTCATTCTACAAGGAGATTGTGGCTCCATCCTATTTGACTCTGAGAAACCTCTTGTAATTCTGATGTAAACTATTTGTAGAATGAAGATAAGAAAATTCTCCCAGTAAGTGGATCATGACAACTGTAATTTAGAACAGTCAGATTTAAGCCAATTCCAAAATCCTCTACATCTTTGTAAAAGACAAATCCTTGATGTTGTCTGTGTGCAACCTTTTCATAAACTTTGGTTTTATGACTAGTACAAACCACCAAAAAAAGCCATGTGATCAGTAATCTGTGTCTTGTTACAACATGCTGCAGTTGAGCTATCTTGTTTATAAATAATAGAGCTCTCCTGAATCTGTGCATAGACTTCTTGGTTCATGGCTTTAGTTTTTTGTTTCAAGAAATTGTGACATAAAACAGCAGACAGAAGATAAATGGAAACCTTCCGTTTTAACTTGTGTTGTTTCTGGGGTAATGTTAGAAGCTTGAAAGATACATTTAAAGACTGTATCTTATTTTGCCCTTGATTACTAGTGTCTTATATATGTGTGTAAATGTTTTCCTACCTTCTTTTTGCTCAGCAAAGACAAGCAAGTAAAAATATATTTGCTAAGTGATTAGTGATGCACATTTGGGGCTATATATATATTTTTTTTTTTTGGTACTTTTATGTAACAAAAAGTGGATTTTGCAGTAAGGGATTGGCATGAGCAGGTGTCAGAATCACAATCAGACTTCCTACTTGAATAATTATAGTTCAGAAGGTATCAGGATAGATAGATACATCTCTAGTGAACAGTTTGTAACAATAACAGGTAAGGATCAGGAAATTCAGTTATTTGTCAGATTTGCCAGAATGATTAAATAATTTGAACATTTGTGTTTGTTTCTTATGTAATTTTATTGAGTGGATTGTTTGGGAAATCTGGGCTGGAATAGGAAACAGAAGATACTGACTTCTGCCCTAATTGATTGGCCCCATTTTAGCAAAGATAAACTGACTTTATTTTTAGTCTTTTTTATATTCACTTAATAAATTCTGGAGTTAAGCTCTCAAAGAGGTCAGAGGGACTATCTGGCAATAGCCAGCCAGACCTTTACTGCCAAAGAACCCATTTCATCTTGCTTTCTACTGATTGAGATTTTTCTGATTTTTGCACTGTAGATGAGCATACGTCTCAGTGCTGCCCCAAGCCCAAGGGATTTCTCATTATGTTCAAATGTCCTATGATTTACCTTAATCATTGCAAACAGTTATGCTTATGAAGTTTACTTACAAACAAGCAACTGAGTCACTTTATTTCTTTAGTGTAGTATGTGAAGGCACTGGTTCAACAGGATGGCCCCAAAACTGTGTTTTTCTAATGTTTGGTGAGGGGCTGGCAAGAATTTTAATGATATGGTGAAAAATATATCTGTATAATTAATTTATTATATTGATGTATGGGCTGTGAGTTCACCTTTTAGTGGTCATTTGTTGTTTCATAACAACTATGCATTTTGGTTCACTGTGATGATCTATATTTAGTGACTGCAACATGTTTATACCACTGATTCAAATTCCATCCATGATGAAGTTATACAAATAATGCATATATTGATAACTTTTATTGCAAAAATGTAAATTTAAAACTTGTATAATGTTCTTGTGCTTTTTAAAATAAAATATCTTATATGTGTATATTTAAAAAGAAAAAAAGGGACTTCTCATGTTTGGGGATTTGGGTTTGAAGTATAAAAATTCTATGCCTAGGAAGGCTCTCTAGTTGGAATCTTTGTCAGCCCAGGCAAATGTTTTAAAAAAAGTTTAAGTGTTTAGTTTACATGGGTCTCCAAACTTTTTAACCATATACTTCATAGGTAGTTTTTAAGCATACATACCAAATAAATATACATGTACATATATTTTATATTCTGTCTATGCAGTGCTTTAGTAATACATTATGCAAATTATAAAACATAGCTTTAAAAAGGAGATTTAAAAATCAGTTAAAAATAGAAGTATATATTTAAATATCTTCCAATCCAAACTGCGTCCTTTTGGGTATGCACACCCCAATATGGAGACAGCTGTCTAGAGCAGCACTATCCAGAAGAGTTTGGAAATTATAGAAATGTTCTGTGTGTATTTACAATACAGAATGGCAGTCACTATTCTCATGTGGTTATTGAACATTTCAGATGTGGCCAGTGCAACTGAGGGCCTGAATTTAGTCGTGTGTGGCTGGTGGCTACCATATTGGGCAGAATATGTCTAGTGTGATGGTTCTCAAACTCAGTTGTGCATTAAAGTCACCTAGAGAGTGTTAACAAAATACAAATGCCCAGTTCTCACTCTAGATCTGGAATCATTCTTCTGGGATTGAGCCTTAAAATAAGCAGTGTGGTTTTCTTCCGTTTCTGAGCCATAATTCTTCACTTAAAATGCAGAGGTTGCTTTCTTTATAGCTTGGTGATTTTCAAACTAAGTGCCAAAGATTCTGGGAGAAACGTAGGCCTGAGAGGGGAAAGAATGCCAAAGCTGGATAGTTGTGATTTTTCATTTTGAGTTTCTGTGTAAGCTTTCATTTGAGAAAAGGGTACCTGGAATTAAAATATTAAAAGCAATTGCTTTAGTTTTAAACTTTAAAATATTCTATGAGGGGGCCAGGCATGGTGGCTCACACCTATAATCCCAGCACTTTGGGAGGCAGAGGTGGGTGGATCACGGGGTCAAGAAATCGAGACCATCCTGGGCAACATGGTGAAACCCCATCCCTACTAAAAATACAAAAATTAGCTGGCTGTGGTGATGCACACCTGTCGCCCAGCTACTTGGAAGGCTGAGGCAGGAGAATCTCTTGAACCTGGGAGACAGAAGTTGCAGTGAGCCGAGATCGCGCCATTGCATTCCAGCCTGGCAACAGAGCGAGACTCCATCTCAAAAAAAAAAAAAAAAAAGAATCTATGAGGGGGCAACACTGAAGACAATGAAGGGTTTCTGTTTGTTTTTGTTTCTGTGTTTTGAGACAGTTTCGCTCTGTTGCCAGGCTGGAATGCAATGGCGCGATCTCGGCTCACTGCAACCTCTGTCTCCCAGGTTCAAGTGATCCTCCTGCCTCAGCCTCTTGAGTAGCTGGGACTACAGGCGCGTGACACCACGCCCAGCTAATTTTTGTATTTTTAGTAAAGACGGGGTTTCACCATGTTGGCCAGGATGGTCTCCCTCTCTTGACCCCGTGATCCACCCGTCCCTGCCTCCCAAAGTGCTGGAGTTACAGGCATGAGCCAACATGGCTGGCCAATGAAGGGCTTTTTTGAGGCGGGGAGATAAAAATATAAGACACTTGTAATTGGCATGGAGAGGTCACTAAGGGGTCTTCTTCATGCTTATTATAGCATGGTAACAGGCCACCACTAGGAAAAGCAGATCATACAATCAGGCAGATTGTTCACAGTTTGTATTAAAATTTAAAATTTGTGTACAACAATGGGCACCATTAATAACATTAAAAGATATTCAGAGTTAGGTATTAGCATCACATCAACGGCATAGTTTCTGGATCTCCCCAAAACTCTTCCAGAAAAACATACCAGCCAAGGTAACAAGAAACCCAAAGCTGGTATATTCAACAAAACTAGATTAACAGAGTCTTTTGCACCCAAAAAACCTATTGACAGCAGGACTGTGCAGTGGCAGTGGTAGAAAGTGAAAGGGGATACTAAATATAAGTTACAGAACTGGAAAGTTGCTAACAACCTCCAAATGGAGGGGACTCCACTCAGGAGGAAATAGGGACCATCAGATGTGAGAATAATTACCAGCAAAACTAAGAGAAGTCCTCACGTGCATTAAATTTAGAGTGGTGGTTGAAAAAAGCTGCAATATTAAGGAAACCAGACAGTATGGTGGCCAACTAAATCTACATCCTTATAACCATTAACTACTGCCTTTGGCCGGGGGCAGTGGCTCACATCTGTAGTTTCTGCACTTTGGAAGGCTGAGGTGGGAGGATCGCTTGGAGCTCAGGAGTTTGAGACCAGCCTGGGCAAAGTGGGGAAACCTTGTCTCCAGTTAAAATTTTAAAAACTAGTCTTTTGTGGTGGATTGTGCCCATATTCCCAGCTACTCAGGAGGCTGAAGTGGGAGGATTGCTTGAGTCTGGGAGGTGAAGACTCATTAGCCAAGATCTCACCACTGCACTCCAGCTTGGGCAACAGAGTGAGACCCTGTCTCAAACAAAAAACTGGCTTCGTTAAGGAAAGAGCCTCACCCTGTGGAAAACTGCTACAAACAAACCAAATTAAAAATAATAGGAATACTGAGGGTTATAAAGTTTAGATTGTGTGCATGGGTGCTAAGTACTATATTGGCAAAATGCAGCACTTAAAGATGCAAGTACAAGAGATTAGTATGAGTACTTGACATTAACAACAGGGGTAGGAAGCCTGGAGCTGTGACACAAAGCAAGCTTTCTTGTCCCACCCCTGCCCATTTGATGGACACCTCCTCCTAATGCCCCAGAAAATTAATCTCATTTAAATGAGGAGAACAAAAAAGAAATATAACCTAGCCTCAAAGTTACTAAAATAAGAGAAAAATGAATAAAGTTGCAACCACTGATGAGAATACAGTAGAGAACTGTGGCCTCAAGACAGACAAAACCTGTAACCTGATATTACACAATTAGTTAGAAAAAGATGAGGACATACAATCAAAGCTTTGACAGAAGAACACAACTCAGAAGTGTAACAGATCTCTAAAATGATACGGCAAGAAAATAGGAGGATGGGAAACTCAAGTGAGATTTGGGGAAAAAATAGAAATTAAGACTAAGAAGGAATACAAAAATGAAAAGTTAGCAATGGAAAGCACAGTAAGGAAAGGATGGAAAGACCTGGGCATGGTGCTGGGCACCTGTAGTCCCAGCTACTCGGGAAGCTGAGGTAGGAAGATCCCTTGAGAAGGAAGTCAAGATTGCAGTGAGATGACGTCACTCCACTGCTCTCCAGCCTGGGTGACAGAGTGACACCCTGTCTCAAAAAAAAAAAAAAAAAAGGCAGAGAGTAGGGAAGGAGAAAAAAGGACTTAAGATAAAGTGAAAGATAAACAAAGAAGATTTGATATATATTAACTGGAGTCCCTGAGGAAAGAAAAAGCAATGGAACAGAACACAAATGGAAAACTATAATTAGATAAACCTTTCTTGGAAAAAAAAAAAAAAAACTTGAATACATTTTGAAAGAGAACATTGTAAAAACCTGGAGGAGCCAACACTAAGGCATATTCTAGTAAAGATATTGGATTTTAAAAATAAAATAGACAAAATCATTTGAACATTCAAGAAAAAAATCCAGATCACTTTTAAAGATTGTCATTAGACTTCTTGGCAGCAACATTTTTACGTTAATGAAAGGATTTTCACATCCAGACAAACTGTCCCAAGTATAAAGTCCACACAGCTAGTAAAGAGCATGCAAATATTCAGATAATATTTTTTCCCATGAGCCTTTCCTAAGATATTTACCAGTGAGCAAGCTTCAGACAATCATAAATGATTATAGAAGGCTTGGCAGAAGGTCTGGGAGTGAGTGTTGCACATGTTTAATTGTACAGATCGGGGGATGAGAGACAAAAATCGGATGCTTTGGCCGGGTGTGGTAGCTCATGCCTGTAATCCAGAGCACTTTGGAGGTCAAGGCAGGCAGATCACCTGAGGTCGGGAGTTCAAGACCAGCCTGACCAACATGGTGAAACCCCGTCTTAAAAAAAAAAAAAAAAATTGGATGCTCCAATGATGTAGAATTATTACAGCTAACAAAAAAATAGGAGAAAAAGAGCAAGTGGGTAGAAAGTTAAACAAGCTCACTGATTACATCAGTGGTTTTAGCCAGAAGTAAAAAGGCATCAAGCAGGAACCCGCATCCAGGAAAAAGCCCTTTGCTCCTCCCTCAGAATGAATGGACACCAGAAATCAGAGGTTTATGCTCAAGAAAAGCAGGATTTCATACAGCACTTCTCCCAGATTGTTATGGTGCTGACTGAGGATGAGATAGGGTACCCAGAAACAGGAGATGCTATCGCCCGTCTCAAGGAGGTCCTGGAGTACAGTGCCATTGGAGGCAAGTATGACTGCGGTTTGACAGTGCTAGTAGCATCCCAGGAGCTGATGGAGCTGAGGAAACAGGATGCTGATAGTCTCCAGCGGCCCTGACTGTGGCTGGTGTGTGGAACTGCTGTAAGCTTTCTTCCTGGTGGCAGATGACATCATGGATTCATCCCTTACCCACCAGGGACAGATCTGCCGGCATCAGAAGCTGGGCGTGAGTTTGGATGCCATCAATGATGCTCTGCTTCTGCAAGCATGTATCTACCGCCTGCTGAAGCTCTATTGCCAGGAGCAGCTCTATTACCTGAATCTGACTGAGCTCTTTCTGCAGAGTTCCTATCAGACTGATATTGGGCAGACCCTGGACCTCATCACAAACCCCCAAGGCAATGCAGATCTTGGCAGATTCACTGAAAAGAGGTACAAATCTATTGTCAGGCACAAAACAGGTTTCTACTCCTACCTTCCTATAGCTGCAGCCATGTACATGGCAGGAATTGATGGTGAGAAGGAGCACCCCAATGCCAAGAAGATCTTGCTGGAGATGGAGGAGTTCTTTCAGATTCAGGATGATTACCTTGACCTCTTTGGGAACCCCTGTGTGACGGGCAAAGTTGGCACTGACATCCAGGACAACAAACGCAGCTGGCTAGTGGTTCAGTGTCTGCGACGGACCACTCCAGAACAGTACCAGATCCTGAAGGAGAATTACAGGCAGAAGGAAGCCAAGAAGGTGGCCCAGGTGAAGGGACTATATGAGGAGCTGGATCTGCTGGCCGTGTTCTTGGAGTATGAGGAAGACAGTTACAACCCCATTATGGGTCTCACTGAACAGTACGCAGCGCCTCTGACCCCAGCCATCTTTCTGGGGCTGGTGTGCAAATTTTACATTCATAAAATGTGACCCAGAGACTGCAAGGGTGGGGAGAGGAGTCTCTCAACAAATTATTGTGTAACCCTAAAAAAAATTAAAAATAGGGCCGGGCATGGTGGCTCACTCCTGTAATCCCAACACTTTGGGAGGCTGAGGCGGGTAGATCACGAAGTCAGGAGTTTGAGACCAGTCTGTCCAACATGGAGAAACCCCATCTCTACTAAAATACAAAAATTGGCCAGGCAAGGTGGCACATACCTGCAACCTCAGCTACTCAGCAGGCTGAGACAGGAGAATCGCATGAACCCAGGAGGTAGAGGTTGTGGTGAGCTGAGACTGAGCCATTGTACTCCAGCCTGGGCAACAAGAGCAAAACTTTGTCTCCAAAAAATAAAAAATAAAGGCCTTGGACAGATATATGCTTTTTTCTTTTTCTTTTTCTTCCACTTACAAAACAGCCATGAAACACATATGTATAGATCAGTGAGTAGATTAGTAGATTTGTGGTTGCAGGGGTTAGAGATAGGGAGAGAGGGGTAAAACAAGGTGTCTTGTGATGGCATAATTACCCATGTGACAAAATTGCAGAGTTACATAGACACACAAATGAGTGTGGATATATGGTATTAGCTTCCTAGGGCTACCATAATAAATTATCAAAAGCAAGGCAGCTTAAAATAGTGGAAATTTACCATTCTGGAGACCAGAGTCTGAAATCAAGGTATTAGTAGGATTGGTTCCTTCTAGGGGATAGGAGGTGCAGTCACAGCTCACTGCAGCCCCAACCATACGGGCACAAGCAATCCTCCCACCTCCCAAGTGGCTGGAACTATAGGTGCATGCCACTTTACCCAGCTAATTTATTTTAATTTTTGTAGAGAAAGTGTCTCACTGTGTTGCCCAGGCTGGTCTTGAACTCTTGGGCCAAGCAATGCTCCTGCTTTGACCTCCCAAAGTGCTGGGAAAGGCATGTAAGCCACAGTGCCTGGCCATTTTTTTCTTTTGATATAAAATTTACATTCAATGAAATGTACAAATCTTAAGTGTACATTCACAGTGTTAAGTGTATGGCATGTAAGGCACAGTGACTGGCCAGTTTTTTCTTTTGATATAAAATTTAAATTCAGTGAAATGCAAAATTTTTTTTTTTAAGAAAGAAAGGAAGAAAGAGAAAGAAAAAAAAGAAAAAATGAAGGAGAGGAAGAATGAGGAAGAGGGAGAAGGAGAGAGAACGGGGGTGTTCCTTTATTGCCCGGGCTAGAATGCAGTCTAAAAATGGGTATGCCTGTAATTGTGTTTAGTAATAGAGACATGAAAAAAAAAATGAGGGAAGAAAATAACTAACAAGCAGCCAACCAATATTTCATTTAAACCTGTAAATAGGTGTGATGTGGTACTGATAAGAGTGTATATTTTGTGTATTTAAAGTGGAAAGTTCTATAAATGTTAATTAAGTCTACTTGTTCCCGATCTGAGTTCAAGTCCTAGATATCGATGTTAACTTTCTGTCTCATTGATCTGTCTGATATTGATGTTGAAGTCTCCCACTATTATTGTGTGGGAGTCTAAGTCTCTTTATAAGTCTTACATATCTGGGTATTCCTGTATTGGGTGC